ATGGAGCCTGGCTCGACTAAGTATGTCAAGTTTCACATACGGAACCGTAATGATGTTGGCGCTCTTGTTAAACACAGTTCAGGTCTACAGGACCTAGTCGAAACCATGTAAAAGTCAAGGGGGGCGTGGCATTGTCTAGGTCACACCAGGGGCGGAGTTAACGCCGGTGAAACAGAGAATGTGAAATGGCGGCGTCTCCGGCGCCATCACATATAGATTAGTTGAAGTTTGTTTAATTTCAATGAAATTATGTGTTATGATGCAACGGCCATACTGGTGCTCAAATAAGCAGAGTATGATGGTGATCATGTCCTAAAAGACGCGATGAACAATATCATAACAATGTGATAAGCTGATAGGGACAGCATTGATTTAGTGGTACGTCAATACAGGGGTGTATACGACCTAGTCTAAACCACTGAGGCAAGCAGCTCAGATCATAACGGAGGCTGAGTAGGCGCATGTGCTGCTCGCACTGACAGCACATGTGAGTCAAGCGACGACACATCTAGGTTATAAAACCTCGCCGCCATGCAAATGTCCTGAATAGATATGCCATTTGCCTAGGCCCACGAGGATGCGAGTCGGCGGGTTGAGTGGGCCCGAACCCCTATAGCACATTTTTACGCCCTTAGAGCCATAAGCCAAAGCAATTGCGTCGACGATCCAGTGTGACAGCCTTTGCTTGGACACAGGCAGGCCTTTTGTGCGCCCTCCAAAGCATACAAATAGCTGGTCCGTGAGCCTGAACTGTCCACAGCGCTCGGTATAAATGCGCACCGCACATACAGGGCACAGCAAAAGTGTATTAAGTGGCTCCGGCTCGGCAAGTGTTTTGGGACGGAACGCAGATAGTGTTATGACTTGCGCTTTAAATGGAGTCTTCCTGCACTCTTTGGATCTAATGTCAATTAAATCATCAATAACCCATTTTTACATTAAAGGATTTTCTGACTGGTGTATAAACAGTATTGCTTAATAGTGTTTACATTGCAAGAATTTTGTGTACTGTGCACAAGTTGTGATGATTTTGCAATGATTTTTGAATGCTAGTGCTTTCTATATAAGTATGTGGTGTAAGTTGTTTAATTTGTCTTAAGAATTAAAAAAAAGTAAACAGATATGGTATTGTATCATTAATATGTTTTTGCATATCAAGCACGCGGCAAAGATAGTAATGTTCAGGTGTGTGTAATTACTGTAGATAACAGAAAAATGACCTACTAAAGCCTAGTTCTTCAACCCTGCTCTTTGAGACCAACTATAATAAAACACACCTGAACCAGCTAATCAAGGTCTTCAGGGTTGTTGGAAAAATCACAGGCAGGTGTGCTAAAAAAAGTTGGAAATAAACTTTGCAGGACAGAGCAAGATCAGGGTTGAAGACCTTCAGTAGGTAGGCTACTGAAAGTAAATACTGAAGATCTTTGTTCTACAGTGGGTTGTGCAATAAATGCAACCGCACTTATTTTTGCACTATGCTGTTCTAATTTAAGATCAAGGAAGCGATCAAGATCAGTTTCTCCAGTACCCAGCCACCTGACCATGAAAAGCAACTGGTCTATTGATCATCCTCTCAACTTCAAAGATGGCAAAATACAACCTAGGGACAGGTAAATGTCACGGTTATGGACTTTTGTTTCGTCCGCACACGCGTCCAGATTGCTCATGCGGAAAGTATAACACAGGCTTTAGTCTTCCTTTGACCTAGTTTTCCTGAGTTGCCCTGATTAGTTAACTTGGTTCCTCCTCTGTTTATTAATGATCTCATTTGTCATTTAGTACTTAAGTCCTGTGTTCTCCCCGGTTTCTTTGTATGCTATTTGTTATGTCGATGTGTGCTACCCTTTACTCTTGGATTATTTCTGTGGATTTCTCATTATAGACTTTATTTGGATTTCTCCCGCGTCGTGTGCTTTTAATAGCACCCTACCGTAACAGAAAAATTTGCCTTAAAATTTGTATTCATGAGTAGGCAAGTGTGTGCATTAATACAGTGATATTCATAGTGGGATATTTTGTTCTATAATCACTTGCATATATGTGCATTACACCTTTTCTCATTTGCTAACATTTTCTTGTGTCTACATGGACACGTTGCTGCAGCAGCTTGAGGCTGTAGGTAAAGGACATGTCAAAGCGAATGTGCTATTTCAGACAACAAGGCTATTTTGAACAAGTTAACATCAGAGATTCATTACACTATACCACATCCATTGTGTAAACCAAATAGCACTGTTTATAATGGGTAGGGCTGCAATTAACTATTACTTGGATAATCAACTAATCTAACAATTATTAGAATGATTAATCAACTATTGATGTGATTAATATAATGATAAATCATTAGCTCTATACTGACTATTCCAACACAATTTAGGCTAGAAGCTGTTAAGTAATGTAAATTTACAAATAATTTTTATACAAACCATAAAATGCATAGAGTAGCACCACAGTATAACTTTAAATAGTTGTAATTCAGTGTTTTCTTTGCATCTGCACTTATGGGGTTAATGTGGGGAATTTCCAGATGTTGAAGAGTAGTACAGATAGAACGCTGCTGTTGTTTTGTTCCAAGAAATTTTGACATTGTAATCCTGAATAGACGCATTAGTAAGCGAGATACTCTGTTTTGTCATCACTAAGACATTACAACTGGTGTCAGAATTGCGCAGTCTCGTGGAGGATTTGCAGGATGATATGCAATGTCGCGGTGCACAGCGATGAGGACATTGGTGCTAGACCAGAGACAGGTGGCTGGAGCCAGTGCATTCATCCGCAGGAA